ATTGGTCATCTTTGTTTAACTCCATGGTCATCTTGGCCCAGTCACATAGAACTGGGCCCAACTGCCGCAGCCAAGCCACCCCTAAAACATCAGCCCCAGTGAAGGAAAATGGGTATAGGATACAATGTGAATTTGGTCTTGGATTCATATTGGCATCCTTTTACACATCCCTTCACACGGCAGCCTGTTCCCATCCGCAACATGAACCTTGAATGCAGGTCCATCATAAATGACCAACTCCATCCGTTGAGCTAGGTCCTTGTTGATGAAGTTTAACGAACTACCATTGTCAATGAGGATGGTCAGGGTTTGGCCTTTCAACCCTTGTAGTTTGGAATGACTCAAGCCCTGTGAGGGCTTATAGTGAAATGCCAAGGGCCCCCAGTCTTGTTAATTGGTCTAATTCTTTGTCCGGGGTCATTAGGTCTGAAACCTCCTCCGAACGCTCTGGCTCTTCCATTTGGTTCCAAAGACAAAAGCAAATCATTTGGTGGTTACAAGAATATTCCTCTCTAACGGGCCCCGGCAAGTTAGTACTTGACCTTAGGAAAATATCCTCCCTACGGTCTTGACAGTTCAGACATTCTGATAAGGCCTTCTAGAATATTCTAGGTCACTTGTCATTTCAGGCCCAATTGGAGTCCTCCAGGCTGAAATTATGGCTGTTCTAGAAGGTGCAAAAAGGGCTAAGGAGCTAAACATTAGTGGATTGGTCATTGAATTGATGGAGATTCAAAACTGGTAATAGGCTGGCTAGAAAAGGAGGATGATGGCGTGTAGAGTTGCATAAATGAAAGAAAAAGTTTTAAGTAGATGACTCGGGATATGGAAGTGAGGTTGCAGTTGGCCAAAAGGTGTGCTAACTCTTTTTCAAATGCATTTGCCAAAGAAGGGATGGGAAAGAATCAAATGTTTTGGACTTTGTTGTAATTTTATCATTTCCTTTGGGTACCTGTTTTTTCTTTCTTTTCCTTAATAAATTAGTTCTGTTTATAAAACAAATCATGAATGGTTGAAGAAGCTAATCATTTCCAGTGTTGTTGCCTGATTTTTTGGGATTTTCAATGAAGGTATCAGTCTCGTTTGATCTTCCTAGAGTTTGTTGCCTAAAAATTAGAGGAAATCAGACATCAACCCAAAACCACTTTGTGACATTCATATGTAGCATCATACTATGAGCAACTTCAACAAGATGTTGGTTATTTTGTTGTGGTGTTCTATCACTAGAGCTTTAATGAAGAGACCTGCTAGAAGGAAAGAAATCAGGGAGATCACGGCTGAAGTATTCTTTGGCATTATCTCCACGTATACCTTTGATAGTCGTCAACAAAACTAATAAAGTATTTATGCCCACATTTAGTAGGTATAGTCACAGGCTCCCAAAGAACACAGAATGTGGAAAGGCAAAATGGATCTTTTATTTTTTGGAGGAAAAGTTGTTCTATATGCTTACTTAATAGACGTGTAACATTTCAAATCTGTGACAAACATATTTATATTATATAACTTGGAAATTAAAATTTTAGAGACTCAAATGAGAAGTAACCTAGTATGCCACAAATGAACTTAACTCATTTGATTGACCCTAGGGAAGGGAGATGGATCCTTGACCAACAATGGTGGAAAAATATCCATATGTCGATCGCACTTTATCCCTACTAGAGAGGAGAGTATAAGATGGAACAAGTTAGACTTACCTGTCATATGGGTGAGTAGAGGTCCCTGAGTCAATAATCCAAGGGGGAGTCAGGAGCTGGGGTAGACACATGAAATGCAAAACTTTTACCTGATGTAGATGCAAAGGAGGTAGGTGTAGGAACCATGTTATTTATTTGTTGAAGAGTCCTACCATACAGGTCTAGGTGATCACGGAAAGAGTTAATATCCTCCTTAGAGTTAGAACTAGACGGATGCTCTTGGGAAATACCAATAGTCAAGCTATTATTCTGAGATTCTTGAGAGGCCACATTTGTTAAATTATACTTCTTCTGAGTAGGTTTCTTAGTAGAATCTTGATTCTTAGCTGCCCATTTAGGCTTCCCAGTTAACTCTCAAGAAGTGTCCTTATCATGTGGCAATGTGTACACCATAGTTTATATTTATCATCATCTTTCATAGATCCACTTTTCTTTGCTCCAAAACTACCTCCAGCTAAAGCAATTGTCTGCCCCCCTTTAGAAGAATTGATCAAGCTCCTTTCAAACTGGACTAGAGCATACAGCTGAACTGAGGGAAGTTCACTACTTAACGAAGGGGCTCATATATGAAGCTTTAGCATTTTCATCACTCTTCCAATCAATGCTTTGATAATGGCCTAGCTCCTTCTAGACAGAGGTAAGAGTTGAGTAATATGCAGATGACTCGGCTTGAAGTTAAGAAATTTGTGCAGTCTCTGTTCAGACTTCAGTATAAGTTGCCTTAGCTTGTTCCCAGATTTCACAACCTGTATATGTTCACATGAAATTCTTTCTTATCCGGGGCATCACCGTATTATTCTTTTGATCCCACTGGTTATCTCTTTAACGATCACATTTCCTCCTTATATATCTTTCATTGCTTAGCATCCTTAATAGGCCAAATTTACATGCTTGTTTGCTATCCATTAACTGAGGCATAAGAGATAAGACTAACATGGTAGAACTTACATGTGAGGTAGTCCCAATGACCAGGTGAACCTAACTTGTCCAGACAACTCCATTTATTTTCTTTATGGCATTTTCACTTTGAAGGCAATATATTTTAGATTAAAAATTAGGATATCCTAGATTATTGATTAATGGGTAGGACTTGCACTTCGTGTGGGTAGGTTCTATAAAATAGGTGTTGCTCACCTTTTAAGTACTTTGGACTGATAAATTCAATATGGATTGTGAACCAGTAACAGTTGTTTCTCCTGAGAATGTCTGTCCAGTGGGTTTAATTTTACATCTGCTGCAGTTTCACATTTGCAATTTCTTTTAGCATACAGAATTTGCAGAGTTCTAATTCTAACTTAAGACCAAATCTTCGATATTATTGTATTGCTATAATAACCATCTCTTCTTTGGTATTCCAAACGTTTTCTAACTCTGCATGGTATACAGTGAACAGGACAGAAGGCACAATTTTTGCTGATATATCTATCCTTCTGTGGCATGGGATCTGGAACACAGTATACTTCACATGTAGTTGGTAAGGCCCTGCTTCTATATTCTGAGAAAGAATATATAAATGCTGCAGCCTGGATACAAGGCATGGGTTTCTTGAACTAGCTAGCTGATATTATGGTTCCAGATCACTTGTTTTCTTTGCCACAGCCCCACAGTATAGTGCAGCATTTCTTTAATGTTAAATTTCTGTTTTGTTTTTGCAGGTGGTCTTCCTTCATTTTTTGGTTCTGGGTGTTTTTTTTTTTTTGAGAAGTTGCTTATTAACGGGATGTTCCCATACTAGTTCCCAACAACCACTCCTCCAACCCCACTGGATTTATTGCCCTTTGAAAGGGGAAAATAACTATAAGAAAGCTATGTCATATAAAGTTGTTTCTTTTAATTTAGTATCCTGATAGTCAAGAAACATAAATTCCAATCCTTCGTTTGTTAACTAGCAGTAACCAGTGTTACGCATCATGCATAGGTTGGTATCATGGTAGTGTGGGAAAGTGGGGAGTGACTTTAGTAAATCCAACAAACATATTATAAGCAAAAATTCAGCCCAATAGTACTGTGTTTCTTCTAAGCTTTTAATTTGCTCGCATAGAGATGGTGCAACTATTTACGATTACCACAGGCAGTTGGATGATCATTGTCTTGTTTCAAGTATATAAACAGAAGTGTGTGGTGACATGAAAACCCTTGTCACTTGAATGCGAGGACGGTAAAATAGAAGATACGATGATTACGATCCCCTCAATAATATCTGCCCATAACCCATAATATTTTCGGAGAAGTACGGACAACAGGCCCACTGCAGATTTTTGATTTTTAATGCAAAAGCTATAAATATTTATAATGTCAACAACCCATTCTATGCACCAACGCCCGCCCGTGAATTGTCATCAATTCCGAGTTGGCACCTATCCCAACAGTATTTTAGGCCTACAAATTCTGACCCTAGGCTGAACCGTCATTCTCCCTAACAATTTTGGATTTTATGAAAACTTATAAATTTAATCATTTTTGAAGTTGGTGTTAATCAAACTTCCCTGATGAGCAATGATTAATGGGGTGTTTTAAAAGGTGGATGAGAACACATCACACATTCACACCCTAATGAGGTAGTTGTTCTAAACTGTGGATTGAACTACACTACACCTTATAGGCGTTCTAGAAGGTGTGGTGTATTTCAGTCCTTACCATGTGTTTTGATTCCAGACCATGCATCTCACCTATAATATGCATATTTGTTTTAAAATTTTAAAGTACGAGAATTAAAAAAGTTAATTATTTTTCAACTTTTATATATAATAAATTAATGTAAATATAACATGCTAAATTTATTATATATAAATTCATTTTATAATATAATATAATATAATATAGTATATTTTCATAATTTTAAATATAATTATATAAAATTTATATATTTAAATTAATAAATATTACAATTTAATTAGATACGAATGGGGTTAAATTTGAATCGGATCTGATTATATAAATACAACATTCAAATCCAGAATGATTGAATGATTGAATGTTGGGTCACTTGGATGGGCCTTGGATTTTTGGGTGTTAATAAGGAAAAATAAAATTTTATTTTATAGAAATAAAAAAAAATTAGGTTGCCAAGAGTACTAATTTTATATGAAAAAGATAACTAATAAAATATATACATATTTAATTAAAATTTAATATACACATGTTGAATTAAAAAATGTACATAACATTAAATATTATATAACATGAAAGAAATAATATTTTATTTTGTAATAATATACATAATTAGGGGTGCAAATATATCAGATCATGATTCAATCTGAGTTTCGATCCTATTTGGTCGAATTTGGATCACCTATATTCGGATCTTAGGATCGGATTTGGAACACCCCCTATCCGATTTGATATATGTTGTATAGTTATTTATATAAATATACATATAATACATATATGCATGTTATTTATTTATAAATATATTATTTATATTGTATTTTTGTAAATTTGTTATATTATTTACTTTTTATAAAAAACATGTATATGTATGATGAAAATAATTAAAAAATACTTGTAATTTTTGTTTTTCTTTATTTAAATTGGTATATTTTTTCTTTTAATAATTTATTAATTTTTAAAGAAAACAAATCGAATCGGATCAAATCAGATCCGGAGATCTAACTTCCCGATCAGATTTGAATTTAGATCCTTGCCTTTTAGATCCGATCGAATCTTCAATTGGATTGGATCGGATCTATCATGAACAGTGTATGATCGGATTCGAATATACCCTAATTCGAATTCAATATGATCCATTTGCATCCCTATACATAACAAAAAACAATGTTTTAAAAAATGACCCAGAATTGGAATTATTTTGGCCATCGGTTTCTAGGTTGATAGTTTGATCGTTTAGTTCGAACAAGCAGCCCGTTTTGTGAGCTTTTGGTTCACAATCGAGCTTGAACTTGTGAGCTTTTGACTTGAGTCAAATTCGAACTCAAGTCCTCGAGCTTGAGCTTGATGGTTTATTGGCGAGGCTTAAATCCACCCGTATGTGGTAGGTGGGGGAATCACCATAATTCAAGGGGGGTGCTATAGACAAGGTTCAAAATATTGATATGCCTAATACACCCGTAGAGGCGTATTGGGCAGTATCGATAACTTTTTTTTTAGTTTTTTTTTTTAAATCTGGTTCAAAGGGGCTGGTTTAAGGTCTCGTCCACCCCCTGAACCGGTCGAAACCCCAATACACCCTCTATAGGGGCGTACCAAGAAGCTCTTGATATGATACGTATTGACCGATATGGTCCGATACTTTGAACCTTTGGTGTAGCATAGGTGGAGTTTGAAACAAAACATTTAGAAAACCAGAAAAAGTAACAAAACTTTGAGTGTAAGTAAGACCATAAATTTCCCTTTTTTCCTACAAAAGCAAGTGAAAATGATTGATTTTTAACATTGCTCAATATCCAACACAAATGTGCTCATGCAAATAATATTCCAATCAAGGTTCAAAGTATCGAAAACGGAAGGTGTATTGAAAATATAATTTTAAGAGACGTTTGGAAATACACTTTACAAACACAGATGCGAGATTTCCAATCTGCCAATGAGCTTAACTATTATAAGGTATCCCACACTTTGTTGTTTCAGGTTACACTAGATTGTTATAAGGTGCATGAATGACATTGCATTGCATACATAAGGTGTCTACGTAACCTTGGGGAATCTTTATCCAATTGACTATTAGAAATCTGGAATTTTATTCAGTAGAAATACCCGTCCTACCATAAACACATGTTTAAGGGTCTGTTTGGTTTGCAATTAGAATTGGAGTTGGAATTGGAATGATCTATCCCTATAGACTGTTTGGTCTAAAAGGGATTGGAATGGGAATTGAAACTAGTTTGGATGGGATTTCATTCCCGAGGTAGAGGGAATGGCCATTCCCTCAAATGGGCAATATCATTCCACCAAGAATAGGAATGAGATTCTGATTTCGTCTAACAAAACAGTTGAATTGAAATGACCCATTTTGATTCTGATTCCAGACCTTTATTCTTACAAACCAAATAGGTCCTAAGAGAATTACATATGGGAAATCATGATCCCAAACCTAGTATTTGGGAATTCTTTGTGTTGCAACAGAAATATAAATAATTTTGAAACTAAACTCAGTCATTGCAAAGCTTCTGCTCTTTCGGTAGTAGGAAGACAAATTCAGTCCATTATTCAAGCTACCCTTTCACATTTTATGGGAATTAATTGCTCAGTTCCCCCAAAATATGATCAGACAGTTGATCAAATGCAGTGTAACATATGGTGGAATGGTTCTGGGAATCGTTGTGTTTGGGATTTCTGTCAACCGTAAAATCCATTGAACTGAATGATCAATCTGTTATGATTCCCAGAACAACCAAACACAACGATCTCTTCTAATATAAGCTTTATGGTTTAATCTTTTATATATATATATATATAATGGGTGCTCTCTGCATCCAGGATATGGAATCTACTTGTGCGAGTAGATCCCATGCGGGCACCCATTTCTTATAGATAATAATAATTATAACTACTGTAATAATAATTATTGATTATTACAGTAATTAATATAATTAGTGATTATAATTAATAACTACTGTTATATATTGTTAATAATTAGATACTTATTTCAATTTTACTTTAAATTGAAATTATAAATATTGTTATTAAAAATTACTATTAATAAATTTAGAAACCTGGTTTTAATAATTATTGATTATTATAGTAATTTAATAAATATATAATTAGTGATTATAATTAACAATTACTGTTATTATAAATATAGTTAATAAAAAGATATTTACTTTAATTTTACTTTAAATTAAAATTATAAATACTTTTAATAAATTTAGTAATTATTGTTATATTAAAAATAATTTAAAATGTTATTAAAAGTATTGTTATT